GAGTGGACTGATTTGCGCATAGGGTTATAAGTCGTGAAACCCTGCAACAGTGTTAACAGATTAATGCGCTTAGGGTTATAAAGTGTGAAACCCCGCAACTGTGAGATAAGTAATTGTAGCCGTTATTTGTAGATTGTTAAATGAACCAATTAACCATCTCTACGGCGTCTTCAGTAACGAAACACGTTACATTGGTGTCAGAAGTGGGATCTGGACTTACACACGTGACCAACGAGCTTCGAACTCAAGACGCGTGACAATTTGGTGTCAGAATTTTTACAAACTTAAACACGCCTGACAAATAATTGAATTATTGTGCATTGAGTATTCGACTGCTACAACATGGATATGGAAAAGATGATGGAACTTCTCCTGAAGGAAATCAGAACCATTCACGAGGAGGTGGCCAATAGGAGGAAAGACCATAAGGATTTCATGGCAAGATGGGAGGCTGACAGACAGGCCTGGCGAGAAAAAATGGCCGCAGAAAGAGAAGCTACCAAAGCAAGAACGGGTGCCATCGAAGCAAGGACGGCACAACAAGAAGAGGTCCCTTTAGACGACGTCGCAGTGATACCGGTCAGTGAACCTGAAGATCAATTGATGCCGATTACCCAAAAGGAGACGGTGGCCTGCCCAGTGGACACAAAACCATCGGCGGCACAACAAGAAGAGGTCCCCATTGCATTACCGGTTGGAGTGAAGATGGCCTGCCAAGAAACGGAGGCATGTCCAGAAGATGAAAAGCCGGCTTCAGTGAACAGGGACCTGAGGTGGCAGAACTACTAGAGGTACCCATACAAGACGCCGAAGTAATGCCGGTCGGAGAACCGAAGAAGAAAAGGCGCAGGGACCGACATCGACGAAATATAAAGAATTCGACACGGGAAAACTGTGGACCCCGGATGAAGTTGGCTGCCCCCTGCAGGAAGACATCCCATCAGGCGACAGTGGCACGACGTTGGAGAATTGCCTTCAAGAAGGAAATTCCCCAGGGATCCTTCGGATGCCAGCGGAAAGAAGTGACCGCCACCGGAATAAAGATTACACGCTGTGTAGGACACAGGCGTATGGGAAAAATCAGGAATAAGGTCGCACCGGAAATCACCAAGAAACGGACGTTTGGGAAGAGACTCTGGAAAGGCCCGGAATGCAACACTGGCATCAGGAACAGAGGCCTGAGACAGCAACTGCAACGCAGAAATGAAGTGAAGGAACTAGGCGGCGGACAGCCACGATATGTGAAGGAAGCAGACCTGAGAAAAACTGCAGGACTGCAGATCGCCAAGCGAGTAGCCAGGTTTTCTGTCTGCCTACGACACGGCAAGGATTGGACCTTGTGGAGGGGACAACCCCCTCCAAAACGAAAAAGACGCAGGGCACAGAAGAGGAGCCGGTAAAATAGAAGAACCGGCCTCCCCAGTGAGAGTGAATGTGCCATGGGAGAAAGCGATGGATGAATGTGATCTTCTGGCGAGCTGAAAGGTAACCGCTCGAGACGAGCTTTGTCTTAAGAGGGGAGCGGATGTAACAGACGAAGAATAGTCGCTGCAAGAAGAGTAGCCGAAACAACAGGAGACACTGCAAGAACAGCCACCGAGAAAAAGGAACGGGGATGCGCCGTTAGGCTATTCGGGACGAACAGCCTTAAGGAGGGAGCAGTGTGACATGTTGACCCCTACCTCCCCAGTGGAACGTAGCGGTAAAGTAGCGCTCGCGTAATAGGCGAATCATCACCCCGCCACTCTCCCCGCGGTGACGTCATGAGCGGAGCCGAAGATAGCTGAGCCCCCGCATTCTGGTAGGTATGCAACGCGCCACGCACGGTGACGCCACGGTAACGCGGAACCGCTTCCCACTGTGACATGGCCCGCAACAGGCACCACTGCGGATATATAAGGGAACCGCACAGCAGCTACCAGTGAGTTGGAATGTGGGCAGCCGCCGAGTTATAACATGGCCATCGCCGAAGATAGTTCCGAGCAAGCCTACGAGAGTGTCTTATCAAGAGTTCTCCAGTCAGCCGACTACAGTTGGAGTATAGCAGCCGTCGCGGGAAGAAGAACCGGACGTGTGTGTGATTGTGTAATTGGGAGTGTGTGATACAGTGATACATAGCTCCCCTACTGTAAACGTGTAGACTACTGAAGACAGAGTGGACTGATTTGCGCATAGGGTTATAAAGTGTGAAACCCCGCAACAGCGGTAACAGATTATTGCGATTAGGGTTATAAAGTGTGAAACCCCGCAACTGTGTTATAATTAATTGTAGCCGTTATTTGTAGATTGTTAAATAAATCAATTAACGATCTCTACGGCGTCTTCAGTAACGAAACACGTTACAATATGTACTCCAGAAGTCACTTAGTATGTGGATGCACACAGTTCCTGTGTGGTCATCACTGAGAATGATTTAAGATGGTGTTTACAGTACTAGTACTAATACTGAACACTTATATATAATTCAATGTATTATTCTGAAAACAAATTCTATTAAATAAAGCAATAGATCATATAACATGACCACATGAGACCAAGTGCAAGCAATAGGGACGCAAACCATATAAATCTTGTGAACTGCATATTATAAAAATTTAAATTAAGAGCTTTGGGTATGCAGAAGAGGCTTATCAGTATGAAGACTCAAGGAACTAGAGCTTCCCTGAGGCTGCTGCAGTGGACAAGGAACATATACAAACAAAAATGGAAAGTGTTTCATTTCCCTGAATTTCACCACCATAATATGGTGTAAAAATTAAAGCTGTTTTCTTTACAATTTACCACTTCTACTTATCTTACAGTCATGTGTTTATACGGTACATACTCACTACTAATTGACCAGCATGTTCCAGACTCACGTGACATCATACTGTTCCACAAGAGACAAAACACTACCTATCTATCTTCAACAACAAATGAAGAAGGAACAACAGGGTTACAGTAGCTATTCTGGGATGTGCTTGGTTCCTGGTAGATACATATACATCTCAGAATACTGTAATCTTGATACCACCATCAGAATCTGAAACCTTACTAAGACTAAAGAGCCTTCAAAATGTCTACATAGCAGCTTAAGACATTTCAAAATCCTGCAATAATGTCAGAATTCTTACCTGATACGAAGCCAGTCCGCACAGCTAGGACTAGCCATGAGTGTCTCCAGTTCATCACGGCCATGATAATATGGTGGGCGCTGGTTAATCTTTTGAGGTGGATATTCCAGTAGTCCAACTGGAATGTATCGATGTAGAAAAGACAGCCACTCCAGAAGAAATCGCCGGGTATTCTCCACTCCCTCAAAACAGACAAACATACAATTTGAAGTTCTCTTATTATCTTTAATACCCACAGTTTTTCAATAAAAAGGCAAGAGAAAATGTGAAGGCAACTTATGTGATGAAAAATCCAAAATCCAAAAAACCTGGCATTCTTGAAGACTAAGAGTCCACATGTCAACTAGATCCACAAAAGGAAGAGAATGACTAACAGCTATTCACTTATCTTGAAAACATGGCAGTTACTGAATAGCTGTATCATTCTATCATCCTGTGATAGCAAGACCACCAAACATTTCATCTGTTTTTGGTTGAACATTTGTTGGACATGACTGGAAGGGATCCTTGCCCTCATTTCAAGAGGAAGACCAAACCCACATGTCAGTCAAATTACTCCACTTGAAGTGCAACAGACTATGCACAGCAAGCAGTGGGATCATGCTTGCAATATCACATGTCCTCAGCCAAGAAGAAATGGACTACAAAATTTATGTGTTCAAAGTGGAGGGTCACTCTGTGTATAGAAACTTGTATTTATGTCTTTACCACACAAAATTTATAAATCACAGTTCTGTCAAAATGTGAGAAAGAAAATATTACCACAAATGTAGATTTGGATTTATACATATATACTATAGCACATAGATAGCCATTACTAAGTAATGTACTAAGTACTAAGTAATTACATAGTAAACAACTTATCAGCATAACAATGATTGCACATGTAACAGTGGGAGAGCTAAGGGAAGAGGTGTTGAAATGTGGTCCGGCACCAGGTGGACAGTACTGCTGCAATGGAACACGTGATGCCATGTCACCAACATCAACACAGGAATGATGTTTTCTGTTGGGTCTGCTCTGAGGCTATATCACTCAATCAACAGAGTTGAGTTCATTTAGTGAGTGGAGTGAGTTGGTTCATGAATTGTGAGATAGGCAACAGCCAATGAGGACATGAAGCTGTGAACATGAAAGTTGAAGGATTTACGGAACTGGAAGCCTTACCAGACAACTGGTGAACACTGAGAAGACTTAGTATGTGTTGTAGTGAACTGCAGTGTGTGTGAATTAGCGATAGCGCTATAGTTACTTGTTCTTATTATCTGTAAGTGTTCAATAAATCCAATTACCAAACCCCATCTATACTCACTCCATAATATCGTGACAATATAATACTTTTTTTACATCACTAATCTCTTAAAACATTTTTGGAACCCACAATTTGTACAACAACATACCACAGTAAGAGTTCCTTGTTCAGCAAAGCAGTTTGTTTCAGACACCCTTCACTACATTATTTTAGCTGATACAATTCCAAAGATGTATACGTTTTTTAAATAATACCATAACTAGTCAGAATTTGGCCATTAGCCAGTTTTTTAAATCTGCTGTGTCGATACAATAAAGGTTAACAGATATTTTTACATATCTGAGGAGTAAGAAAATGTACTAACTATAAATGTATATCAAAGTTAAAATGAGGTTAAAGTTTATTAAGTACAGATGATGCAATCTTTCTGTTACCTTTGTATCTGATCCCCAATGTTCCAAGCCATAGTTAACATATTTCTTCAAAATATCTAATCGTTCTGAACTTGATATGTCCCAGTGACGTTGTTCCTTCACCTCAGTGAATATCCATGGCTTTATAAGTGCCCCACGACCAATCATGATGCCTGCTACACTGGGGCTATTGACTAGTGCCTGCTCATAGTCCTCATAACTCAAAACATCACCATTTCCAAACACAGGGACTGGGGCTCCTAACTGGGCACACTGTTCAATGTAGTCCCAATCTGCTTTTTTTGTGTAGCGCTGCTCTCGAGATCGGCCGTGTACCTGTGACAAACATTATAATATTGAATATACTTCAAGCCACAAATTCGGAGGTTTAGATCATTAAAAACCTTAAAATAACTGTAATCATCTGCAGCCATGTTCTAAGGAATAAGGAAGTATTTTGGTATCATATTACAGTGAAACCATATTAATTTGAAGTGTTTTGGGTCAAAGATATTGTCATGTGTAGGGTGGTACACATGATGAAAACAGGTTATAGTTTGGATGACTGGATTTATTGCCACTTCGGTTACAAGTTCACTTAATCGCACTTAATACAGCACTATCACTGATTTACATAAATTACAGTTCACCGTTGCACATGCATTAGGTTTCTCAGTTTCCACTAGATCTCAACACAGAAGCTAGCAGTTGAAATCACTATGATGTTTTCAAGTCTTCGATCACTTTGTACTCCTCTGTCCCAATCTGTACTCAACTAATCTTCACAATTCACTAAGGACATGCTCCATTCTCGTCCTTGTACTCTCAAGTGCTCCTAGCTTGTGAATTCACTTCTCCTGTAAGCAGTCTGCACAGACCCCATTGAAAACACAGTTCGTATTGTTGAGGACATTACCGCATGGCATAGCACGACCTGATATGCGGAAATGTGTTGATCGAGCAGTTGCCTACAAACAGATTGCATAACCCTGTTGTTATATTGTTGTGCACACGAATTACTTAGAAACGGCAATATCTGTGGCTCGACTGTTCTTGCATGGAGCAAATACACCACAATATGAATTCTGAATTATCCAGTTTTTCAGTGTGCACTTATCTGCTGGATATTTAGTTGTTTAACAGCAAGACAGCAAGACAGAAACACAGATTTCAGTAAAATATGTGACTCTGGTATTTTCATTACAAATAGTTAAATTCAACATAATTAAAACTGAACATTATGTATGAACAACAATTAACATGTCAAATTTCTCAACATTAAATCATTGCTTCTTAAAATATAAGCCAATTGATCTTTTCTTTTGAACAGTTCAACATACCACCACACCCAAACCAGCACAGGAATGCTGCAAAGACATGGTTAAACAGACGTTATATGAGACTTCCACAATCCCAAGCTACATGGCATATCCATCTGAATTGCAACAGACAAGATATAAAAGCCTCGATTTCCATACATCACTGGTGTCCTACACAACATTACTTTTAGTGTTAGTGATATTTTATGTCAGGTCTATTTTAAATTACTCATGTAAAATATAAAGAAGTTTCTCTTAACACTGGACACTCCTGATGCTGAAATATGCTGGGCTCCATAATTACTTATTAATTAAAAATTCATAGATTTGGTAGTGTTCTTGCATTTATGTAACATAAATACAGTGCATCAGCAAAATGGCGCCTCTCAAGTTCTTGCATATCTTTGACACAAATTATTAAATGTCCACTGCTTTCACAATTTCATAATTTGCATCAGCAGGCCTAATTACAGAATACAACATTGAGAGTGCCAAAAAAGCTTCATTATGGTAGGACATAATGACAGTGCTGCAAATCACCACCCCCCTCAAATCCTCTTCCCATCCATTCACCATGCGCCATAAGTGACAAACTCAATTTTTTTTTTTCTTCACCTGATCATTAGTGGTTAGGACCAAGTTGTTCAGTTATGTACCTACTTGACCTTGCAGTACCATCCAGTCACTATCATCCAGGTCCTATTCCTCCAGCTCAAAAGTACTCGCAATGACAAACCCACATTCAGAGAAAGTTTTCTACAGCTGTAGATGTACTAGCCTCCCACACTACAGGAGTACCCATCATGGACTCCAAATGATCCACCTTATCTGTCACAGGAATTTCCTTCCAATTTCCCTCAACAAGAAGCACACTCTGGTAAGAACATGCAAACAGAAGATAATTCCTTGATGTAGTGGCTGCAGTTCATTGGTAGCATTATCCCGTAAACACAGAAGTCAAACATGTTTAAATGCAGGACCCCACACTGACCCTTTTGTTTTTTGCACACCATGTCCATCTCCAAACAGAGTAGCCATTTTCTAAATATCTTAGTAGTTAGTATCCTCGAAGGAAGAGAAGGTGAAGCACTTACCAAGGGCCAGCCATATGTAATGTGCAAACACAAAATACTGGCATAATTTTCATACACCATTGGTACACTGAAGCTTAATATGTTCCTACATGAGAAGTAGACTGGTCAAAGTCAACCAGTTATATCCTCACTTGCTTCGCTTTCTCTTATTTGAAGACAGCATTCACACATTCGTAGCTGATTTATATTTCCAAGAAAAATGTTTTTAACTTTTCACACACCATAGGTTTCCAGTGTTCTCTCAGCTGAAAGCTGAAGTTTGTTGCTTCCATCCACATTGCAGCACAACAGCAAAGCCACTCTATTTATAAACTTACTTGTTCCATTGCATCTTTCACATTTTATGACAATGTTACGCTTGATTGCACATTGTAAAAGAGCGCAATTTCATTTAAAACGTGCTCTGCTCAAGGAAAAATGCAAACATATATAGTCCAAGTCAGGAACATGCAACAGTGATGGAAAATACATAAATGTAAGCTGTAATAGTTTTGGGGGAATGGAAACATTAAGAACTGAAATACTGATTACCTAACGAAGTAAAAATATGTTCAAGTTTTCATCAAACAATGCTGTTTTAACAATATAAAATTCAACTTGTGAATACCAAATGTCCCACAAATGAAGGCTTGGAAGAAGAAATATAAGCTTTTCTATAAACTTGGTATATGAAATTCCTACACAGTGATAAATATTCAGGCAGACTTCCATCCTTATGCTAGTTAATGTATAGGTATAAGAATTTTACAGTCATCTAGGTGTTAGTTAAAATACTTGAAGCATTTTTTGTATCCTTTTTCTGCACTTAAGAAAGAGTCACCTACCACTAAATTAGGGTCAACATAGCCACTTATTGGAATGTATCCATTTAATCCTCCACAAATTCCTCCACTCAACACCTCAGTGTTACCTGCATCAGGAGTAACTGTAATATGAGCACACCACAGACTAGGGCTCAACAGGTGTTCTTCACAGTGATAAAATAATTTATTTTGCCATTCTACAAGGATAAACCTAATAGCAACTCGTGAAAAATCTGAACGATAAAAATTAACCTTCCCCCCCAAAAGCAGAAATCCACATTACCAAGACAGATAAGGATTATATATAAAATTCATATAATTTTTTCTGATGACGCTCTTCTATTCAATTTTATTTAAACTTCAATGGATTTTGACTGCCTAACCTACACCAGCCTTCAAATTGTAATTCCAACTAGTCTAGTCACTCACAACTAGGTTTTCTTCATATTAACCTGCAGTGCCCTGCAATAAATATACGAGTAAACACAACAAATCCTTTCTGTTACATATTTATTTGGTAACATGTTTTCTGGTTCTAGTGCCCCTCCAACCAAACCTACTGATACCATATCACAGGCTGAATTTAGTGTAAGAGGCTTCAAAACAATTGGTAGAATTTTTGAGTCATTTTGGCACCACCTGCAAAAATCTTAAAATATTTATAGTTTTCCCCAAGAAGGCATTCCTTCTTTGAAACATCAACACATAATTTGATAATATATGGGACTGGTAAGGAACATGAGAGAAAGCAGAGGAAATTAATAGTACAAGAACTTAACTAACAACTGTAACACTTCCCAATGGATTCTCAATGGGTGTTATACTAGTAACAAAAGATAATAATAAAAATACATAATATTGCAAGTAAATGATATAGATGTGTATACATTTCTAAAGTTAACAACAGAGCTACCTCTAACTTGAATACACAACTGGGAGAAACTGACCGTTACAAGTGAAACTCCCCAATCCTGGAACTTTGGTATAAGTGTGTGGAGTATGTTCTTATCAGTGTAAACACCAGTCCTTGTCTTCAGAGTCAGTGGGAGATCGATAACATTGCTCATGCAGCGTATCACAGATTCCAGGGCCTTCTCACGCCTCAGCAGACCACTGCCACCACCCTAACAACAAAACATGCTGTATCAATACCTGGGAGTTGTGACAGCTCAGTAATTAGCTCTGTGTTCCAACAGTTTTCAATCCAACTGGCATTGGCAACTCTTTCTGTAGAACTTAAAAGACCTTGAAAATGACTCTTGATGATAAACACCCCATACCAAGTTTCCACAAAAGTCTACCTTGTGCCATTTCAAATCAGTTCCTCCCATAACACTTCTTTAAGATCCACCTTTAATATTAGTCTACCTACATTTGTGTCTCCAAAGTGGTTGCTGCACTTAAAAGCTCCTCTCCTCTTTATCCTACAGTTAGGGGGACGATTACTGATTTATCCCTGGTTCCATCATTGTGTTCTCAGTGCTCCCCACATGAAATGGGGTGTCCACACTTAGCTTTAATATGAAAAGAATGAATCTCCAAAATAAACATTCATAACAATTAATAACAATAACAAAAATAAGACTTAAACCATTACATTTGACCTTCAAACATGCATATGAATCTATGCCCTCGACTACCTTGGTCAGTCCAGACTGCAACCCAACAGAAGAAAAATATGCATAAGGTAGCCACATGGAACCAACTCCAGACCTTGAAAATGACCAGACTCAAGTAACACTGGGAGACAACCCAAATTCCAATGTTACCTCATTATCTAGCCATACAAGAAAACTAACTGGGGTAGCAGCAGGCCCAAACACATACAAATATATGACCAAACAAAGCTCTCACTACAACATTGCCCCCCCCACCAAAAAAGAAAAAAACTTAACATACAGTTTCAATGAAGAGGTCCTTTGCCCTCAACAGACAGAATAAGGAGTCCAAACACAATTTGGAAATCCCAGTCTAAATGGAATTTAGCAACTACACTGCTCAACTGATGGCAAGCAAAGATTGCAAATTTAAGTCTTCAGACTCAATCAAAGAAAAAGAATTTAGAAAGCATGACCTAAACAGAATTTCACCATCCACCTCGCTGACCGCTGGCAAATGAAAGACCAACTTTCAACTCTCACTACTGTGACAGAGGTCTTCTTTTTCTAAACAACTGGAGGAAGGGGAAATCACATGTGACATGAGAATGATGGGATTACATAAACGAGTGACGACACAGCTGTTTTGGGGTGGAGGTGGAGGGGACACCAGGCCGAAATGGGCAAATTCTGAGCCATCTGAACTTTGAACATGACTCAGCACATCAAGGATTTGTAGCTTTTCAAAAATAAAAAGTAAATTTTGTGAATGTGACTCCACTATATTCAAAATTTCTAGTAACAGACAAATATACAGTACCATCTACAACATTCTTCTTTTTATTAAATATAATGAACAGGATTTCAGTTTGCTCCAAGTAAGATTTTAAAAACAGCTTATCAAAAATTATATATGTACTAGTAAAATTCTAAAGGGTTTGACGACTGTGTATAATACAGGAGGTTACTGAGATTTTGGACTTCATCCACCATTCATTAGAAAAACTAACCTCAATGAGTGACAGAGGTTAGCTCTTTCTACTGGACACAACAGAGTAGGTGCCTGCCACACTTTCACCCCAGGATGCAAACAGGTCCAGTTTGCAAAATGTTATGTACTTTAGAATACTGAACAATCAAAAAAGTCCAAGAACTTGGCAACTTCAAGTATATGTATATATACACTAAACTATGAAAACAAAAACTGTACCTGTTGATAAACAAACTCTATTGGACAACCCAAGTTGATATCAATAAAATCGATGTGTGTTGTTTCTTCAAGCATTTGAGCACAGCGGGTCATAACATGTGGATTGTTACCACACAGCTGTAAGGAGGATATACAAGTACAACCATTAGATGAAAAAATTACAATTAAATGGTGAAGCAAGTAAGAACATCAGTAATGTAAAGGTAACTATCAGAGCCAGAAAAATAATCTGTGACATAGGAGTGCTTTAAGAAATTCATTATTAGCAGAACTCTACGATTCAAAATGACTGACATGAAGGACACATAAATAATGACTTTACAATTCTACAATGGTGTGAGAAAATTACACACCTTGTGGCAAACAGGTGCACTACAGGGTGAACCAAGTCACTGCACACCTACACTACAAATGATAAAACCACCTCATTTTTAGTACTGTCACATGTCTGCTGAAAGTCAGGATAGCAAAACCAGAACAGACGTCCGTTGCTAGGCAATGGCTATGTAAACACGTTTCCATGACAACTAAAACACACTTCTGCGGCAATGAATACACAAACGCAACAATACAGGACCTGTTGGAGGCAGTATTCTCTGCTGGGCCCATGCCAACGTTATATACTGGGGACCAAAACTGAAAAATTGGCACCTACTCAGACTATCCCCTCCTCTCATCAAAGAGCAAACCCCATTTCCAAACATACAAATGGCCTTGGAACAAACATAAATTAGGTCATGGTCCCCAATGAGGCTCGAAACCGAGAATGACTGTGCTGGCAAGGACAGGCAGCAATCTACTGGACTGGACTGAATAGTTAGTACCCAGACAGACAACTTCTGAATCAGATACGAGTGCCAGGCTGCAATAACAAGTGGTACCCAGTGGTGGCTAGGCAGTCAATGGCCAGGAGTTGTGGCCATGAGACAGTCAGCAGGCGGTAAGGATGTGAACATGTAAGCTGAGGAATCTAGTGTTTGGAGCCATTACCGGGCAATGCTTAGTGAAGACATAGAAGGCTCTATGACTGCTGCAGTATCATGATTTGTTAAGTGTGTAAATCAGTGAAACTGTTGTAGTCACTTGTAGTTACAGTTTATAAAGAGCTCAATAAATCCAGTAACCAATGGAAACTCTGTGTCTAGTGACTTAACACGTGAGAGTATTAATGTTTGTAAATTTGCACAACAGATGAGCACACAGTGTGTGCTTAAGAAGCATTTGCACCTGCATCCTAACAAGATAACATCAGTGCATGAACTGAACGAGAGGGATGTCCATCCTGCTGAATACTGCCAGTGATTTGGAGATGTAACTACTGCCAAGGGACAGGATATTCTGGTCATCACATTTCTTACTGACGAAGCATGGTTCCATTTACCCATTTATGTCAACGACCAAAACCAGTGATTTGCTCAGCAACTAATTCATATGAGATCAAGCATACACCATCACATAATCAGAAGGTTGGTGTGTGGTGTGTCATACCACAAAATCAGATAATCAGCCCCATATTCTTCAGTGACACTATCAACATGGAACATTACTGTGAAGTGATCCTTTATCCCTTTATTGGACATTTAAATGCCACAAAATTGCCCACAGCCACTTCCAACAAGATGGTGCTACTGCGCACACAACTCATGTTTCCATAATATATTCTGGGGAAAGAGAATTTCAAAGGACATTTGGCCACCATGGTTACCCGATCTTACAGCCCCTCACTGTTATCTGTGGGGAGCAAAGAAGGGAACATTTTATGAATATAATGCTCACACTCTCCCTGAGGTGATGGAAGACATCAAAAATTTCATCAGGAATACCCTTCTGATTGAAATTTTGTTGTTATCTTTGCAAACAAGGTAAGACATGTAGATGAATGTCTACAAGCACATGGGGGCCATGTCCAGCATTTTGGTGTAACTTAAGTATGAGAAATGTATTCCTATTAATGTGCAGGGACTCTTTGAATATACTCATCATTTATGGTATGTGCGCATGGATTTATGCTGTCTTACTTGGACTCCAAACAAGTCTTCTGATGTATGTCGCTTAACAAGAGCCCACTCTTGCTGTAAGCCTTGCAGTAAAGAAGTAGCCATTGCCATTTCCCCGCAAGTAATCTCTGCTCCAAATTCCTTGCAAATTCGGCGAAATGGAAGGTTTCCAACTGTCGTTAATGGAGACAGATACAATTTTCCTTTCCAGTTGACCTATTGACAAATACATTATGAAGAGACAATAAGAAGATACTGATAACCCAAAAATTGTCTGGGATTTGTTCCAGCACAGAGTAAGGGTGTGTGAAAACCAAGTACTCAGAAGAATAAAGTGTGCTAACTTGGGTTTGAAGAGCAAGTCGAAGAAGCAATCAAATCACAATATGTTGCTTGCTAACACTGTTAGGATTATAAAATCAAGGACAAGATGGGTGATATGTACATAGGTAAGTCAATAAGTAAGTTACAAATGGATATAGAACTTAAACAAATAAGAGTACTGATTTTATTTCTCAACATAATCTCCCTGTATATTGAGGCACTTGTCCCATCATAAGCCCCTGAAAACCAGAAACATAAAATTCTTTAGGCTGCTGTCAGAACCAGACAGTGAGTTCCCTTTCTATACCTTAATCGTCGGGAAAATGTTCAGCCGAAAGATGAGGTTTAAGAGGGGCGAACAAATGGAAGTTGCCTGGAGCAAGGTCGGGGCTATACAGGGGGTGCTCGAGGACTTCCCACTAATAGTTTTGCAGCATTTTATTTGTCTTGTTGGCAGTATGGGGACGCACGTTGTCATGCAAGAGCAACACGCCTTTGGTGAGGAGTCCTAGTCACTTCCGTTGAATGGCCTTACGAAGTTTCCTGAGGATGCTACAGTAGGAGTAGGCATTTACGGTTTGTCCTTGAAGCTGGATTGCAGTGAGCAGTACGCCTTCGTGATCCCAGAAGACTGTGAGCATAACTTTCCTGGAGGATGGTGTCACCTTAAACTTTCTTTTGGCAGGCGACGCAGGATGTTTCCACTGCAATCACACATGCTTTGTCTTGGGCTGGTAATGGTGATCCCAAGACTCATCGCCTGTGATAATTCGGGCTAGCATACTGTGTCCTTCATCGTGGTAGCGATTGAGATGCTGTAATGCCAGACCCATTCTTTGCATTTTGGGTTGTGGGGTCAGCATGCGCGGTGTGCATTATGAGGTAGGTCAGGCCATGTGAACAGCCAATAGCAGTGGCTATAGTGTCTATAGTTACCCTTCTGTCTGCTTGGATTAAGTCTTCAACCTGTTGCACATTCGCCTCTGTGGCAATCTCCGTGGCTCCAAGCGACTTCCATTTGTTCAGCTCTCTTAAACATCACTGTCATTAAATATCACTGCCAAAATGAGAGTTGAAGTAAAATTTCACATGGACACCATGCTGTCCTTTTACATTCTACAGTACTGTCTTAGCTGCAAGAGTGGTGCAGAACAGAGTCCTTCGGTACAGTGACCCCAGATGTGTCCACTGCATCAGCTACTGATAACACACAAGTACAGAGCACCTGTGAAATGTTAACTGCCTGGGGTAGCTAAAGTGCTTGATGAAAATTCTGTTCCAGTGCTATTTTGTCCAATAAAAACCCCATATGGACTACCTTAGGATTGAACACAGGTCTTTTTTGATGGTGATTAATTACTTGAGCTATGTTACAGCATTAAAATTATCTCAACAAAAGAAGAACATTTTCAATTATGTACTACCACACACAATTTCAGGGCCCCATATTGACATTAATGTTGTTCCAACCACTAAATTTGGGCATCCAATTTGATTTTATTAATAGCCAAAAAAAAGGAAGCAGACGAGATATTAGGGTGTCGTAAAATGGCTTAATCTTCATACCAAATTTCATGATAATCAGTCAGCAGGTTCAAAAGTTAAAAGGGGAGGGACACACACAAACACAGAGCATGATAATCTTACAAGCTTAGTGATCTTCCTTAATAAAGCCAAGCAGGTCTATGAGACTACCACGTTGCATGTTTGTTGTAAGCGATGGACAGATATCCATGAAAAATGATACAAATATTATGTTACTGGGGTCCATTCAACCTCAAATTTTTTTTTAAATTCCTAGAATCAGTACCAAGGCCTGAAGGCTAGCATGGGTCACAGGATAGCAGGCTTATGATGCAGGCTTTGTTGGCAAATCCATATCTCAACCTCCCAGTCGGGGGCCCAGGGTGCACTCTTGTGTTGAGAGCACAGGGCGTAGCAGATGGGAGTGAAGTGAGGGGCAAGTATCTGGTGTCTTAAAAAGTGGATCCTTTGGCTAGGGGAGCAAACCCTGCGAGAAAGTCCAAGCATTCAATGTAATGAAGGTTGGATGCAGGGCTAACAGTTTCTCTCCATAAAGTACTAAATGTTCAGAAACCCAAAGAATTAACCAGACAGATCAAAGGAAGCGACCCTGGAAATGAAATAAGGCTCATGATTTTAATATGGCTATATGGAATGCCAGTTTATTTTGAGCAGGTATTTTACAAAATCTAATACAAGAACTTGCGGATTAAAATGTGTTTAAACAAAATGTATGGTAAAGTCCATATAGGTAAAAATTTGTCTGATAAATTTCCTATCGAGAATGGTCTAAAACAAGGAGATGCCTTATTGCCACTACTTTTCAACTTTGCTTTAGAATATGCCATTAGGAAGGTCCAGGAAAACCATGTGGACTAAAATTAAACGGGACACATCAGCTGGTGGTCTATGCCGATGATGTGAATCTACTGGGTGATAATGTAGATACCATAAAGAAAAAACACAAACTTTAATTGATGCAAGTAAGGAGGTTGGTCTAGAAGTAAACACAGAGAAAACTAAGTATACCGTATGTCCAAAAAGTATCTGACTTAATTTATTCCGCTGTAAGTAATGACCAAAGGGGTGGGGAAACTGAGCGTAGTGGTAGGAGGGACTTTCATGCGCATGCGTGATTTTTTGCTGACTTGCAACACTGCCGGATGTGTCTGTGGCTGCCAGATAGCGAAGTGGTGTAAAGCATGTTCGTCACATTCTCGTTTCGCTCAAGATGACAGAACACTTGGAGCAGCGATACTGCATTAAGTTTTGTCAGAAACTCGGGGATACCCAAGCAGAAACAATTTGCAAAATTCAGTAGGCTTTCGGCGACGATGCAATGGGGGTCACTCAAATTAAAGAGTTGTTCCACCGCTTTAAACATGGCTGTATGTCGGCAGGCAGTGAGCAGCGTTCCAGGAGACCGTCAACGAGCCGAAATGCTGATGTCATTGGAAAAGTGCGGACACTGATCATGACCGACCGTCGTTTGGCCATCCATGAAGTTGCTGACGAGGTTGGGATCAGCAGAGGTTCGGCAAACACAATTTTAACAGGATTTGGGCATGCGAAGAGTGGGGCAAAATTTGTGCCCAAGCTGTTTTGCCGGAGCAGCAACTCCACCTTGAGGTCACGCAGGACATACTGGAGTGCGCCAACAGGAATCCTGAGTTCCTGAAGACTGTGATCACATCTGAGGAGTCGTGGGTGTATGGATATGACCCGGAAACCAAGGTCCAGGCATCACAATGGAAGCATCCAACATCCCGAGGCCCAAAAGAGCATGACAGGGTCGGAGCAACGTGAAGGTGATACTGACAGTTTTTTTCGATTACCGGGGTGTTGTGCATCATGAATACGCACCACTAGGCCAGACTGTCAATAAGGAGTACTACCAAGAAGTCCTCCGCCATCTTTGTGATGCAGTTCGGTGGAAGAGACCGGAGCTGTGGGACGCACACAACTGGCAGCTGCATCATGACAACGCACCAGCTCATTCATCGCACCTGATCCAGGGTTTCCTGGCCAAGCACTGCATTCCGCAGGTTTGCCAGGCTCCCTACTCTCCTGACATGGCTCCTTGTGATTTCTGGCTGTTCCCAAGATTGAAGACACCACTAAACGGCTGCCATTTTGACAGCCGCGAGGACATCATACAGAACGCGATGGCGCAGCTGCATGCCATTCCAAAAGAAGCCTTCCAGAACTGCTTCCAGCAATGGAAGGACCGCTGGGTTAAATGTGTGGAGTCACAAGGGGCCTACTTTGAAGGCGATTAGGTATTGTAACCACCCAGATACAGAACTTTTCTTCCCGGCCCAAAGTCGGATACTTTTTGGACAGAGTAGTATGTTGCTCTCTAGTCACCAAAATGCAGGGCAAAATCATGACATAACGATAGAAAACAGATGTTTTGAAAATGTGGCACAGTTCAGATATTTGGGAACAATGATAACAACTAAAAACCTGATTCAGGAGGAAATTAAGAGGGGATTGAACTCGGGTAGTGCTTGCTACCATTCAGTCCAGAACATTTTGTCTTCTCGTCTGCTGTCCAAAAACATAAAAATTAGAATATACAAAACTATAATTTTGACGGTGCTTCTGTATGGGTGTGAAACTTGGTCTGTGACATTTAGGGAGGAACACAGACTGAGGGTGTTTGAGAACAGGGCGTTGAGGAGAATATTTGGACTGAAGAGGGATGAAGTGACAGGAAGTTGGAGAAAACTGCATAATGAGGAGCTTCATAAGTTGTACTCTTCTTCAAGTATAATTAGAATGATCAAGTCAAGGAGGATGAGGTGGGCAGGGCATGTAGCATGAATGGAAGAGAAAAGGAATGCATACAGGATATTGGTGTGAAAGCCAGAAGGAAAGAGACCACTGGGAAGACCAAGGCATAGGTGGGTGGACAATATTAAAATGGATCTTAGACAGATAGGATGGGATGGTATGGATTGGATTGATCTGGCTCAGGATACGGACCTGTGGAGGGCTCTTGTGAACACGGTAATGAACCTTCAGATTCCATAAAATGCTGGGAAATTCTTGAGTAGCTGCAAATTTGGCTTCCCAAGAAGGGCTCAGCTCCATAAGCAAGTAAGTAAGTAATACAAGAACTTAAAAGGTATAAATCAATATTGCTGCTGTACAAGAAATAACTGACTCTGTGGCCTGTAGTCTGCAAGCGACCGCCGCTTTTAGGTGAAATTAGTGCCAACTTTTGCGGATAGGGGGTATCATGTGGTGAGCACAACAGATCCCCATGGCCATTGGTCTCGGTTTTCCAGATCGGGGCCAGTATTTCCTTGAAATACCTCCTCAATTATCCTCATGAGGCTGACTGGACCCCATTCCAGACCCACTACTTCCCAGAAAATGTCACCCAAAAGATCATAATCTGAATGATCATAATTTTATCACCAACACAGATCAAAAATAAATAACTACACTTTCTGCAATATATAGTGCATACACACTTTTCACAAACAAATCATATACACAACTGACAACTTTCATCCAAAGCTGACATCCTTGAATCCTCCTCGCATACTCTCTCATATAAATCCATATCATGACTAACATTTGAAAACATGATTACTTTTCCTGCAGGTTACACTTGTTGGTATATATCACTGAGCACTTGGTCAGATAATAGTGGGAGATGTGATATATTATCCTAATGCATAAGGAAAGAAAGCTGAATAGGGGAACTCACTGTAGATGCTGTAATTTAACAGAAATACAAAGAATATAAAAATTTGGTATGTAAACCTCAAGCAGGTTTCCCTGGCTGTGGTTGACATCTTTTGTGATCATGGTATTGAGCCTTCTGGTTCTATTATAATGGAATATTTTTATCACTCAATAACTTATAATTTTGTACATCGAATTAACTAAAGCTGTCTTCTTTCAGACTATTAGTTTATTTGATAAAATTTACTACAGAAAATATAAATCACTGTTTCTATTACCTGCTTCCTTTCCTCCTTCCGAACCTGTATCACATCTTCATCAGTTATGGCTCCACACTGTCTGCTGTTATGTGAAGATTTTGCACCACCTCCATCAATGCAGTTTTCACTTTCACTGATATTTTCTGGCTCTATTTCACAAATTAGGCCTGTATCTCCGTCAACTGGACAAAATGTGTTATCTTCTCCGCTTTCTGTTCTTTGTTGCTTACTGTTTTCATTTTGTTCCACACTGTTCTTACTATTTCCATTACTTATTTTCCCTTTATATTTATCATACTTTGCAATAACAGAACCACTCTTGGAGAAATCATAACAGCGTTTACGTAGATTGAACTGAATACTTTTGTCAAGGTGATTAACAGTTGACTTTGCCTTAAGATGTCTTTCATATAATGAAAAGTTAATAATATTTCTGCCAGATGGTGTTAGGTGTTGTGAACCAAACCTAAAAAAGTTAATTACATATTACAATGCTACACTAAAAGGTATGTTGTCAGTAAATTATTACAACTAGTGTAATTCTTTTTGTTGTATGCTCTTTGCAAGAAATTTAAAAAATAAATGCATAATTGTAAGTTTACATCTGTCCATAAATTGCAGGTCTGAAACTAAGAGACAAATTCTGATTTGACTAAAACCGAGATAAGCCAAAATCATATTTGTGAAAGCAAAAGGAGTTCTGGGCAGGACTCACAAGCCTACTTTCCTTTAGAATACTTCCAGTCCTACAAAGCTTGTGCTGTTAATGCCTCACTTAGATAATCTAAATTTAATGTCTGACAATAACATTCAATTCAGCTCATGGGCCAGTGTGGAACTATGTGCTGATCCTCATAAGCTCAAACCTACTTGAATCCAATCTTTATTGCTTATTGCTGTAAACATGTTACAGCTCACTGTGTTGTCTTCTGAAGGACTCATTACTTAAGTACATGTTTTGTCTGTTAAGGTTACTGGATATATTCTCAAAATTCTGCACCCCTACCATATTTATAATTAATGACCTATTAAAATATTTCATACAGAATTGGTGGCAGTCATCCCCAACACCACCTTCCTTTCCAATAGACCTACTGGGATGCAGGTTTCTCCAACCTCCTGTCACTTCATCCCTCTTCGGTCCAAACTTTCTCCTTAACGCCCTGTTCTCAAACACCCTCAGTCTATGTTCCTCCCTTAATGTCAGAGACCAAGTTTCACACCCTTACAGAACCACAGGCAAAATTATAGCTTTGTATATCTTAATTTTTAGGCAGCAGATGAGAAGACAAAAGGTTCTGGACTGGATAGTAGAAAGCATTGCCCAAATTCAGCCTCCTTGTAATTTCCTCCTGAATCAAATTGTTACTGTCATTCCCAAATATGTGAACTGTGCCACATTTTCATAGGATCTGATAGCTATTATTATGTTATGATTTTGCCCTGCATCCTGGCAATGAGACAACAACATATACTTAATTTTCTCTGTGTTTACTTCTAAGAGCAACCTCCTTAACTCTTTGACTGGCGCAGGCGTGTTTTAACGCCTGGACGATGCCAGCCGTTCCCTGGCGTTGGCGTGTTTTAACGCTTTGACAATCTCGTCCCTTCTTTGCTCTCTTGGCACTCATCAACCAAAGACATATATATGATAGTTTTTGTGCATGTTTGTAAAGAACCCTTGTAAACTTTGTGGGGGTCTATATTACTGTCAGAACCCTCTGGGAAGGTAAAGGTCAGAAAATATTTCACATTCATTCAGTTTCACCATAGCTTCTTGCAGCAAGTGTCTTCGTGTTCCTACAGACCAGCTGGAAAATGTTGTGAACGAGATTTTTTTCTGATGATGATAGTGGCGATGAAATAATGATTCCTGAATTGGATGAAGTTGATAGTGACAATAATNACAAGGTTAGAAAAGAAACAAGTATCATGTGTGCAGGCTGTGGTGTGGCTCTCTGCAAACTTTCATGTTTCAATGTTTATCACACGAAGAAAAACAAAGAAAGAGGTGTGGAAAAGCATTTATTGCATAAAATATTGTATTTTAATTAGTTCCTAAAAATTTCGTTTTTAAAAACCAATTTTTGTTGAAGTTGTTTAGGAAAAAGTAACAACATGCATTTTAGCAACATAAGGTTTAAAGGGCCTGCCAGGACAGGGGTGGGATTTAAATACCCTTCGCGCCAGTCAAAGAGTTAATAGTTACAAAGTTTCTGTGTTTTTCTTAATGATGTCCATGCTATCTCTCAGCAGAGTTACATTATCAGCATAGACCAGCAGCTGATGAAATGATAAACTTAGAGTGAAGAGTAAGATGTTTAAGGAGATGCTAGAAATTTGATTTTGAAGTCAGTAAGGCACTCAGATGCTTAATCCATTAAGGGAAATACGATAAGAAGCAGCAGAAGAAAAACAGTCTATACAGTGCAGTTTCTGTATTACTGATCAGATTTGTAAACAAAAAGTTTAAATTTGTATATGCAATAAATGAACACAAAGACATATGTGGCGGATATAGAGGAAACAGAATGTAGTTCTAAGTGGAATACACACGCCTATAAGTATTATTAACATCTCTTACTTTTGTTCCCATGATATTTCAATTTCTGACATTTCTCTGAGGCAATGTGGGGTGAATAAGTGAAAATTTCTCATACATACCTGCAAGAAGCACCTCTTGGACAACGACCTTGCGTGGAATACACATAACATGTCGAATTTAAATCAGGTGGCTTTGCTGCCAAATATGCTGATACGTCGTGTAGAAAGCTACACTTGTAATTGTTACAAATTGGTAGCTCTTCATTTTCAGCAACATCAATCAGAGTGCGACACAGACTCATTTCCTGATTATGTTTAAAAGGCATAGGCCGTGCCTTATTTTGTCCTCGTAGTCTCTTCTTTTCGCCCTTACTGAGTTTCTGTTTCTTGTAAGGCTGAGAAGCGTCATCTGTGTTATCATTACATTTATTATTATTATCACCATCTTGTGCTGCAAGTTTTTCTTTATCACTTTCAGTGATGCAGTCTAGCAATAACGTTCTCTTATGGTCAGAAATTACATACCTGAAAGTAATATCAGTGTAGTACAGAAAATAGCCACATGTGCATATAATACAGCAAAATCCAAGATCTGGTACTATCAGTTCCTACTAGCAAAAGGTAAAGTTTTCCCTGTACTTAACTAATTAAGTACTACACCATGAAGACATCTGGGGAAGTGGATGCATAGACCCACGTTTTCTTGATGTCTTCCTTTCTCACCTGAAGATGGAAACAGATCCAGTTTCCGAAACGTCATGTCCTCTATTACCTAGAATTCCGGAGATGTGTTCCTTTCTCACCTGAAGACGGAAACAGATCCAGTTTCCGAAATGTCATGTCCTCTATTACCTAGAATTCCGGATGGAAAAAAGTCCAAAAACCCAGTAATTCTGTGTGTCAACCACCATTGTCAGAACCCTTTAGAATATACCATCATGTCTAATCATAAGCAATAAGCAATAGCAAAATGACATACATTTCATATTATATGCAACAAGCCATTATAAAATTGGTGAGTATTTTTAATTAGTCCTACTGAGCCATATGGTTCTGCTACTGGAAGACTAGCCAGAAACAAGGCACAGTTCATGGTCATTAAAAAATTCTTAGACCTTACTGAATTTTAAAAAACATCAATTTCAAAATGCTGAAAAGAAAATATACACATCAGTACTTGCTTAATATATGCTTTAAACGTAAAAGTGGCCTATAAATATGCTAAGAGCTGGATATTTTGTCTACGGTGCTAATATACATACTGTAGAATTTACTTCTGTACATAACTTCAGTCACTTTGTGCTAGTATGTCATCAAAGAATACACACAGTCTGTCGCTAACTGTACTATTTCTGAAAGCATGCACATTTGTTGATTTTTTCATTCTACTACTGCAGAGTTAGTTCTGTGAAACAAAAATATTCATTCCAGTAACATTTCTTGTTGTCAGTACTTAATTTTCCTTACATTTCTCTCACACCAAAATGAAATTCTAAATAAACTGTTGGCTGTGGGTTACAAACCAAACAGCTTCATCTATGATTTGTATTTGTAAATCAGAAGAATCATCAGAATTGCGGAATTTTGCGGATACCCTGTTTTTCCGGGCTATTATTTGGTAGTCCAACATTCATACAGCAACACTTCATCCACTGTTATAAATCAATATAGAAATCGGTGGCGTACATCGTCTTTTTCACCGGTCAATGCCTGTTACATCCTATCCTTTACATTCTGCATAGAAGTAGAGGAAATAAAAAATGTGTAACTGAAATTTTCACGACACGTGCTCTGGAGGCGAGAGATAACCACAAATGTGTAACTGACATTTTCCGAACACGTGTTTAGAAGACACGAGACAACCATAGAGGTGTAACTGAAATTTTCCCAATATGTGCTCCACTTCCTGGTGCATAAATGTATGTTTATAATATTTCCCAATTATACAGCTACGTTAAAATTATATTTAAACAAGTTTAAAGCAACTAGCACATACTCGGCCTTTATAACAGCAACACCACTTTTTCTCTCTGCATCAGGCTCCTTAAAGCCACTCATGTCAGTATTTAACAACAAATGTCAGAAATTACTTCGAAAACCGTACAAAACGTTGACAATTTACACACATAAACACATTCACTCGGCGAAACTCCACGTTATTTATATGCTACATGGCCGCCATGACACCACGAATTCATTACTGCTGCCATCTCAACGCATCGCACCCGAACTATAATACTTCCTCATGGACCTGAGCCCTTCTACAGGAGGAACAATTTCTGCAGCTACTCAACAATTTCTAGGTCTATTACCGTTTTCAAAAGAGCCCTCCACTGGTCCCTATTCTGAACCAGTTCAAATCAATCCATTTTAATATTGTCCACCCACCTACACCTTCGTCTTCCCAGTGGTCTCTTTCCTTCTGGCTTTCCCACCAATATCCTATATGCATTCCTCTTCTCCACCCCTCCGTGCTACATGCCCTGCCTACTTCATCCTCCTTGACTTGGTCAATTAAATTATAATTGGAGAAAAGTACGAGTTATGATGCTCCTCATTATGAAGTTTTCTCGAGCCTTCTACCATTTCATATCTCTTCAACACCCTCAGTCTACGTTCCTCCCGTAATGTCAGAGACCAAGTTTCACACCCATACAGAACTACAGGCAAAATTAGTTTTGTACATTATAATTTTTATGTTTTTGGACAGCAAACAAGAAGGCAAAAGGTTCTGGAATGAATGGTAGTAAGCGTTACCCGATTTCAGTCTCCTCTCAATTTCCTCATGAATCAGGTTTCGAGTTGTTATCACAGTTCCCAAATATCTGAACTGTGCCACATTTTCAAAACATCTATTTCCTAAAGTTATGTCATCATTTTGCCCTGCATTTTGGTGATGAGACAGCAACATACACTTAGTTTTCTCTGTGTTTACTCCTAGACCAACCTCCTTACTTGTGTCAATTCCAGCAGCTGATGTGTCCTGTTTAATTTCAGTCCCACCTGGTTTTCCTGGACCTTCCTAATGGCATGTTCTAAAGCAAAGTTGAAACAGAGTGGTGATAATGCATCTCCTTGTTTTAGAACATTCTGTATAGGAAACTTGTTCACGCCACAACAGAAGATAAAATTGACGACATAAAGGACAGGTTCTATGAAGAACTAGAACATCTATTTGATAAATTCCCAAACTACCAAATGAAAATTTTACTAGGAGATTTCAATGAGAAAGTAGGGAAGGAAGATATTTCCAAACCAGCGATTGAGAATGAGAGTTTGCATGAAATTAGTAAAGATAATGGAGTTAGAGTAGTAAACTTTGCCACATCAAGAAATCTTACTGTCAAAAGTACAATGTTCCCACTTTCTAAAATTGATAAATTTACTTGGACATCTCGTGATGGGAAGATACACAATCAAATCGACCATATTTTGATACACAGGGTAGCAGATTGTGATACTGACCACTACCTGGTGGTGGCAAAGCTTAGGGAAAGACTGTCAGTGAGCGAACAAACAACAGAGTTTATATAGAGAGGCTAAATCTCAAGAAATTAAATGAGGTAGAGGGTAAAGAGCAATATCCTGTTGAAATCTCAAATAGGTTTGCAGCCTTGGAAAACTTGGACATTGAGGTGGATGTTAATAAAGCTTGGGAAACTATTAGAATATCAAAATTTCTGCCAAGGACAGTCTAGGTTATTATGAACTGAAGGAGCATTAGCCATGGTTCGATGAAGGATGCTCAAAATTACTACACCAAAGAGAGCAGGCAAATTGCAATGGTTACAGGATACAAGTGAAATAAATACGGATAATATGAACAATATAAGATGCGAAACCAGCAGGCATTTCAGGAATAAAAAGAGGGAATATTTGAAAGACAAAATTGATGAGCTTGCAATGAACAGTAAGAACAAGAACATTAGAGATCCATATAGAAGAATAAATGACTTTAAGAGGGGTTACCAACCTAGAAGTAACTTAGTGAAGGAGGAGAATGGCGATCTACTTGCAGATTCCCACATTTTGAATAGGTGGAAGAATTCTTTGTTATTGAATGTACATAGGGTCAGTGATGTTAGGCAAATAGGAATGCACACAGATAAGCCGTTAACACCTTATCCCAGCCCTTCTGAGGTTGAAATTGCTATCGCAAAATTGAACCAGTATAAATCGCCAGGTAGTGATCAAATTCTGGGAGAACTTGTTCAAGCAGGAGGCAAAATATTACGTTCCAAGATCCATATACTAATTACTTCTATTTGGCATAAGGAAAAATTGCCTGATCAGTGGAAGGAATCTATTATTGTACCAGTTCACAAGAAGGGTGATAAAACTGACTGTAGTAATTATCAGGGGATATCACTGCTATCAACTTCATACAAAATTTTATCCAATATTTTTTTCTCAAGATTATGTCCATACATAGATGAAATTATTGGGGCTCATCAGTGTGGGTTTCGATGTAACAGATCAACTACTGACCAGATCTTTTGCGTTCGTCAGATATTGGAGAAAAAATGGGAGTACAATGAGACAGTACATCAGCTATTTGTAGACTTCAAGAATGCCTATGATTCAGTTAGGAGGGAAGTATTGTACAATATTCTGATAGAGTTTGGGACATCCATGAAACTAGTTAAGCTGATGAAAATGTGTTTAAACGAAACTTATAGTAAAGTCCATATAGGTAAACATTTGTCCGATAAATTTCCTATCCAGAATGATTTAAGACATGGAGATGCTTTATTGCAACTCCTTTTCAACTTTGCTTTAGAATATGTCATTAGGAAGGTCCAGGAAAACCAGGTGGGACTGCAATTAAATGGGACACGTCAGCTGGTGGTCTATACCGATGATGTGAACCTATTGGGTGATAATATGCATACCACAAAGAAAAACACAAAAAACTTTATTGACACAAATAAGGAGGTTGGTCTAGAAGTAAACACAGAGAAAACTGAGTATACATTGCTGTCTCGTCACCAAGATTCAGGGCAAAATCATGACATAACGATAGAAAACAGATGCTTTGAAAATGTGGCACAGTTCAGATATTGGGAATGATGATAAACAAAAACCTCATTGAGGAAGAAATTAAGAGGAGACTGAACTCGGGTAATGTTTGCTACCATTCAGTCCAGAAACTTTTGTCTTCTCGTCTGCTGTCCAAAAACATAAAAATTAGAATATACAGAACTATAATTTTGCCGGTGCTTCTGTATGGGTGTGAAACTTGGTCTGTGACATTAAGGGAGGAACACAGACTGAGGGTGTTTGAGAACAGGGCATTGAGGAGAATATTTGGACCGAAGAGGGATGAAGTGACAGGAGGTTGGAGAAAACTGCATAATGAGGAGCTTCATAACTTGTACTCTTCTCCAAGTATAATTAGAATGATCAAGTCAAGGAGGATGAGGTGGACAAGGCATGTAGCACGAATGGGGGAGAAAAGAAATGCATATAGGATATTGATGGGAATACCAGAAGGAAGGAGACCACTGGGAAGAGCAAGGCGTATGTGGGTGGACAATATTAAAATGGATCTTAGAGAGATAGGATGGGATGGTATGGATTGCATTGATCTGGCTCAGGATAGGGAGCAGTGGAGGGCTCTTGTGAACATGGAAACGAACCTTCAGGTTCCATAAAATGCTGGGAAATTCTTGAGTAGCTGCAGAATTGGCTTCTCCTCAAGAAGGGCTCAGTTCCATAAGCAAGCAAGCATAGGAAACTTTTCAGACAAATGTTTACCTATACGGACTTTACCCTACATTTTGTTTAAACCCATTTTAATCAGCCTAACTAGTTTCATGGGTACCCTAAACTCTATCAGAATATGGAAAAATACTTCCATCCTAACTGAATCATAGGCTTTCTTGAAGTCTACAAATAGCTGATGTACTGTCTCACTGTACTTCCATTTTTTCTCTAATATCTGATGGATGCAAAAGATCTTATCTGTAGTTGATCTGTTATGACGAAACACACACTGATGATCCCCAATAATTTCATCTATGTATGGACTTAACCTTGAGAGAAGAATATTGGATAAAATTTTGTATGAAGTTGATAGCAGTGATATCACCCAATAATTACTACAATCAGTTTATCAACCTTCTTGTGAAGTGGTACAATTATACCCAAACTATAATATATATATATATATACCTATCTATTCCTATTGCATCCATTTGGAGCATATGGCATCTGTGGAACGCTTGTTTCACAGTTTGTAGGACTCTTTTGATCGGGAATCAGGTCATCGCAAGACCACTACCTACATACAGTCACAGAATAAACACAAACATCCATGACTTGAGTACAATTCGAACCCATGATCCCAGTATTCAAGTGGGTGAAAACATTTCAAGCCTTAGACCAGGGGTCTCCAAACTTTTCGAAACGCGGGCCACATTAGGTAATTCAGAACTTTCAACGGGCCAGATAAAATGAGGAATTAATAACTCTAGGTATATGAGTTTTATTGAAAGCACATGATTTCATAAACTAAATACAAAGTATGTGAGAATAAATTATCATATATTAATGACAACAGACAGTAGCAGCAAATTCTCATATTTTAATCACAAATTATAATAAAACAATTAATGTGAATGATGGAACTCTTTTTGCATTCTTAAAATCTGATTAAATTGAGGTTCTAATTTTGAAATGCTAATCACAAGTAGTGACTTTAAATGTTCATCGGATAAATTTGCCCTGTATTTCGACTTGATGTACTTCATCTGGGAAAAAGTTTGTTCACACAGATATGTCATCCCAAAAATGGAGATAAATTTACAAGCCAGCTGTCGTAGAATGGACTAAAGTTCCGGTAGCCTTATCAACATTCCTCGCTACCAATTCTCAGAACAGTTAGAGCAAAACTGGACATAAGTCGCCTTTAATACAAAAATGGTAATAAGTACGACACCAGCGGTGGTGATGATCTGTTACAATTGCACTGCACCACTGAAAGAAGTCTTGTGCACAAGACAGCTAGTAACGAACTGCTCGTGCTACCTACATTGCCATGAAGTGACACTGCTGATCGAGGCCAAACAAGTACGAAGAAATACTGCACAGTATACGGTCCAGAATTAGTAAAATTGTGAATAATATTAACATAATATGGAATATCAATATATTTTAAACACAATCATAATTAATGAATTTGAAA